TACCATAGTAGTTTTGTGAATCTAAGGAATCCACAAACTTCTACTCCTGTTACGAAGCCATCAAGCAGATTTTATTAAACATGTTTGCTATCTTGACACTAGTAATCCTTAGTAAATCCGGTCCCTGTGTACCGTAGCTGTTACGCACTATATTATCAGAGTGTTCCGACACATATAATATGCAGTCTTATATGTGGAAGTTTTTTCTTATATTGAAAAGGAGATAACTATTGTTAAATATATTTTTTAAAATTAAAATAAATAAATATTGTAATAAAACAATTCAAAGCATTTCCGTTCACTACTGCAAGTTCATTTTTATCATTAAAAATGTTTGCACAGAAGTCTTTTAAATTTAAATAAATTTTTAAGTTTTTAAATAAAATTCTAAAAACATTTATGCTGAAATTAATTTCTAAATAATTAAAAATATTTAAATTAATTTTTAAACATATCCAAGCTTTTATTTACTAATCCCTTCCCTTTCCTACAGTAGTGGGTGAACTACTATTGTTAAAATTCTTGTTTAAATTTATTTTACATAGTGCCATACTATATACATTGAAATTGAATTCCTGATGTAATTAAAAATATTAAGCGCTTTATAAACATCATACGAATTTGACAATGGCAGCGCCATCTGTGTGTCAGTTACACGACTTATGGACTGATGTATATGATCCAACTAAATGCAGAAACTATGTAAAAAAGTACCTAAATCCTTTTAAGTATACAGTGCGAGACATAAAACTATCCATTACAAATGAATTATAAGAAAAAATTATTTAACTTTTTTTATAATTAAAGTAATTATTTTCATCAAATAATGAGAGCTTTGGGACCGTTCTATGACTTCGATGTAATAATTTTTATATAAAAAAAATACTTGTTAATTCAAACAAAAATACTTTGTAATTCTCCAAACTCATTTCATTCATTTTATAAGTTCGAGTTAGTAATCTTCAGTGATAAAGAAAATATTCGGGTAAAATATAAATACACGAATTACGAACATCATGTATATATTTGAGACCTATGGAATGAAACTTAAGATTTGCGAATAGTACAATCAACAAAACCTTCATATAAAAGCAATGATAATATTTTTCACCATCTCACATACTACATTGACGGTTGGAGCGGATCTGTAATCATCTATCTACCTATTGGTTGTGTTACAATATGGAGTAAAGGTAAAGATTTGTTATTGTATTTGAAGACATTGATACACATACAGCGGCGTACACAGAGACTCATTTAGAAAAAGGCTTTCGGAAACTAATTCAAAGTTTATATATAGTAAAAACATTTAATTGAAAAAATAGGTATTGAACCCCGAAATAGACTTTCTTAACGCTACTATAGGTATGTAACTAGAATAAAAGTGAAAACAATGGATCGGTTTCGTTGATATATATGAACTATTGAAGACATTCTTTATTACCATTTAGAAAACAATAATGAATTGCTTTATCTCTATTTTATTACAAAAAAAGTTCCGCAGCTTGTAACGCAATATCACTATCATTTAATAACATTATGAAAATTATCACTTTCAAATAAAAATAAATATATTGTTTTTACATATGTATAAATAAATTTTATATTATACAACATTAATACCAAATTTAATTCAATATATAGGTATATATAAGTGATAAAAATAAAAATTGTATTTTTATACGAAATAAAATCTTTGATGTAATAATACTTTATTATTAATCACAAAATGAATTAATATGGGTATGATTAATATGAGTTGTAAAATAAAGCTTAATTAAAAGATAACATTAATTCAATTGATTTTTAGTAGCACACTGCATTATTAAGTAACTTTACTTAATTAAAATAAAAACCTACAAGGCCTTCCTACTACAAAACTCATCAAAACATTTCTTAATTAAAACCTTTCCAAAAATTGCAACCTATCATCACACCTTTTATGAATTTATCCAGAGAAAGGCGCCAAAATTGATATTGGGTGTTAAATTAATAATAAAAGAAGAAATATAAACTTTAATAAAGTGTTAGAAATTACACTTGATCAAATCTTTGCTTTTCCCTAATATGAAATGTTAAAACACTATCTAGTGTTCATAGCGCTAGAAACATTGTGTCGAATATGATCTCTAGAAACCCTACAATCAATTAATATTTCGTTTGTGATAACTGTAAAAAAATAAATAACTGTATAATAATATGATAGTAAAATATAATTTTATAATAATAAAATATAAAAAGATACATAAAATATAATATGTAAGAGAAATTTGATATAATAGAAATAATTAGTGTACGCAATAACATAGTATAATAGCGTTGTTTAACAATAATTAAGAAATACCAGTATATCATTTTATCGATAATAATACTACAAGAAATAATAACAGGCCTAATAAGGAATTAATGCTATAAAAATGGAAGTCAAGAAAACTACTAGATATACATTTCTCGATTAAAAGTGTTTAATCAGTCAGTTAACAAAGATAACACAAAGAGCTGTATTTAAAACAACGACTCACTTCCTCCTCGCTAATTTAAGGGGTTATAATAAGCATTAGTGTTTTAGCACCTATTGCGTTTGGTTAAACTTTTTTTGATCAATCAATTCCCAAAATTAACAGAGGAATTATGTTAAAAAGAGGGGCTCACACTATCCATATTACCTTAAGAGCATCACAATAGGCAATAGTGTTTTCTAACCTTTTTAACCTAACACAACCTTAGATCCTTAGATGTCCTTATAAGGCTGTATGTACTTTGATAATGTTTACAGTTGTTAAGCAAATATTTGGAGTGGGAAAATTACTAATCGGTGTTGAAACTGATTTTATTTTCTTTTTACTGTAAAAATATTTTTATTATATTTCCAATAACCTTCTGCTATTTTTCGGCTGGAATTATTAACCCTATGTAGTTGACAGTCTTTTTTAGAATTTAATTTTAGGTCAATATTGCAATGGTAGTGAAACAGCACAATATCTAGACTGTATGGCGGATGCATCAGATATTCTTTCTCAAGTTGTTCTAAGCCATGTGGCTTAAAATTTGTCATGACATTTCGTTTCTGCCGCCTAAGCACATTTACAATCAGCTGTTAAATATAACTTCCAGCAAGTGACGTATATAGAAGAGGATTTTGATGCAAAACCCTTTTAAAATTTTTTAATCAAATATTCATATATCCACCTAATTTAATAGATTCTTTTTAAATAATTGTTTTTATACAAATTTTAAATAAGTTTTTAAAAGTGTCTCCTTAAATAAATTTCTGTATTTCCCACAACTTATTATTATTATAATAGTATTATAAGCTTATTATAAGTTACCTAGAAGAACAACAATTAACAACAATAACAAATAATACCAATGGTACAAGATAACTAAATAACAAGAAATAAGTAGGAAACCTATGTAGTAACCGTAATCCATTTTATAAGAAAATGGATTAAATAACAATATTAATATGATATGTTTAAATTATTACAAGATATTTTAACAAAATTTATTTCTGTTGCATCATTAATATTTATACTTAAATATGAGTTGAATTTTATAAACATCTTCAACGCCATTTAATTAAGTATTTAAACCGTACAAGAAATATGACAGGATCATGCTTATAATGTTTTCTCTGATTCATCTATTCTTTCTAAATTGGAGTGAAAAATTATCTCTTGCTAAAACGCAGAATGGTTACGAGCCAGTAAAACTCAAAGCTACTGAGAATTTGAGATATTCCCCTACATATCCTACATATCTTCCACAAACAACAGAATCAAGCCAATGAAGTCAGTGAAGCCACTGATGTTAATTGATCGAATATGTCAATATCCTGGTAGAGTTCGTATAGCTCAATTTTTATTTAGATGTGGCAATCATCGGTTACTCTTAGAGGATTGAAAATCTTAAAAATAACTTTTGTCTGAAAACTTCTACTCAAACAGTTTCAAAAAGTAAAGGGTATTATTACCCTTTCCTTTTGTATGCATATTGCATGAGATTCCCTAATATTATGGGGAAAAATAATTTGGTTTTAAGACGATATAAATAATAGTTGTATTTTCTGGCTTCTTCAATGTTAACAGAAAAAAGTATTTAATCAGAAAGAATTGAGTATTATTGATTAAATATATATTGACAATTAACTGGAAATTGTTTTACGTACTTCCAAAAACCATTCACAATAGACGAATTTTTATTCTTGGCAACCATGCGATTTGAGCTGCTTATTAGTTAAGCGGTTTCAAAAAAGTTGGACTAAATAAGCCAGCAGTGTTGTTGTTTCATATGTTATTTTTAAAATAAGCGGTGGTTCTTTTGTGATATGCTTACAAAAGAAAAGGTCTAATATTAAGCAAGTTTAGTTAGCTGCACCATTATGACTAATTAAATTTCGAGTTCACTTTCTTAATTTTTTTCCAAATTCTATAAGTTAATGATTTCATAATTCTTGAGTTAACAAATCACTGCATTAACCTATTTACCAAAACTCCTGAAGGTGTAGTGCAACGAAACTCACGTTTCCTCACAAAAACATGGAAGCACATCGACCAAAGTAAAACTCTTCCTATACAAAAACGCTTTAATCAAATGAAAATAAAACTAAGCAAAAAGGGTCAAATGCTTTGAACCTTAAAATCATTAAGTCAGAGTCGAAAGGTGCAACTGAGATCAGTGCACAACAACAAATTGCGGAGTCTGTGGCGTATTGATGATAGCAATTCCAGAAACAAACTTGCAATCTGTGCTGAATGACTGTTGCATTATCGGGCAAAAAATAACATATCTCGGCTTTCCCTATTAAAATGACTAACGTGACTGGCTAATAAGGGAGTTGGAACTTCTCTGTTTTCGCGCTGTTTGTTGGATTATTTTAGGTAGCCGATACGAGGAAGTTTTATGAAAATTTTCTCATTTTTTATTTAAATTACTTAATTTTTCTATTGCAAAATTAAATTTTCAAATAATTTTTTTTAAATCTTTGCATTAATTTTCAGATAATGCTGCCTGCTGCACACCATATCAACAGCAACATCATTTATTTCCTGTTGCTTTTGAATTTATTGCCAATTTTTTGTCAACCACAATTTGTGGAATTTTTTTCGGATTATAAAAAGAATCACATCGAGGATGAGGTAAGACATCAAGTAGAGGTTTAATTTAATTAATGTTGGGTATTTACTATTTCTTTTAATTTTTTGGTATTTTAATGATTTTTGCTTTTAGTTTTTCTCATATAAAATTGGTGTTGAGTCGGTGGTGTATGAAGTTTAATGAATCGTTCTACTTTAGAGTAGTCGCACGCACAGCACGACTGACTTCAGATTTTGCAATTGAAATTGTGTTAACCTTAATTGGTGAGTCTGTGCTGCGGTTTCGTTGCAATTTCATTGTGATTGCCTTCATTTATTTCAATGAGATCGTTTTAATGAATTGGCGACATAATGTATTTAACATTTTTCAGCGAAGTATCTTTTCATATACGAATACTCAAAGAACTGATGGCATGTGTCGAAATAAAAAGTCATACAATGAAAAATGTACAAAAAACAAAGTGGAAGACATTTAAAATACCAGAAATTAAAAAAATGTTTCCCCTATAGTATATCTTAAAATGATTTATTGACTATATAAATAGATCAGATAGATACCAGTGACAATATGTCTCGTTGAAGACGGTCTCTCTTAAACTCCATAAATTACCAAAGATCCTACATGCAATTGGTAATGACTGTCTTTTCTGGCAGAAATACCAGAAATTCAAAAAATGTTGCGTATGATTAACCATATGAATAGATAGATAGATACCAGTGACAATATGTCTCGTGGAAAACGGTCTCTTTTAAACTCAGTAATTAACCAAATGCTTCACATGCAATTGAAAATAGTTCTCTCTTCTGCGAGAAAAGCCAGAAATTCAAAAAATGGTTCTCGTATAGTATATTTTAAAATACTGCGATTAATGAACCATATGAAGAGATAGATAGATACCAATAACAATAAGTCTCGTGAAAGACGGTCTCTTTTAAACTCAGTAACTAACCAAATACTCAACATGCAATTTTCTCTCCAGTTCTCTCTTCTGCCAGAAGAGCCAGAAATTCAAAAAATGTTTCTCGTATCGTATATCTTAAAGAGCTGCGAATAATAAACCATATGAATAGATAGATAGATACCAGTTACAATATGTCTCGTTGAAAACGGTCTCTTTTAAGCTCAGCAATTAACTAAATGATCTAAATGCAATTGATAATGATCCCAGAAATTCAAAAAATGGTTCCCTTATAGTATATTTTAAAATGCTGCGATTAATTAATCATATGAATAGATAGATAGATGCCAGTGACAATATGTCTTCCAGAAGACAGCCTTTTCTAAACTCAGTAATTAACCAAATGCCCTACATGCAATTCTCTCTCTAGTTCTCTCTTCTACCAGAAATTCAAAAAAAATTTTTCCTCAATAGTTTATCTTAAAGTGCTGCGATTAATTAACCATACAGATAAATTAATGGATACCAGCGACAATATGTCTGATAGAAGACTGTCTTTCTTAAACTCAGTTATTAACCAAATGCTATACATACAACTGATAATGACTCTCTTCTAATCATGACACATTTTTGAAATTCCACTCACATTTTCATTAAATCCAAGAAATGCACTGCTTCGAAAAAAACATATAATTATCAAGCTTTTTAATAATGTGACATTAAAGTTTATTGAAAAATATTCCAGTATTTGTTAAATGGGAATACCCTGGTAGGTGCAGTTCAAGCTGCTCTGTATCTTTATACATATATTATTATGCATTTGAAAAAGATTTAAATAACATGAAATTCTTATTCTTATTAGTAAATTAAACAAATTTTTAAATTATACATAACGTTGATTGAGTAAATGGTTACATTGGCTTATTGGCAAATACCCGTCCGCCTCACATAATTAACAATTATATACCGTTCTAATGCCACCTTCCTTGATAGAAACCCCTGTAGATAAACTAGTTCGATCCAGTTGAGTTTATATACTTTGACAAATGTTTAGTTTTTGCTGATGAGCAGTCTGACAGGCTGATCTCTTATATTAGAACTATTTTACAAACCATTTAATTATATCAAACAAATTATTCAACTTAAGATATGCAAGCTGTTTCGCCTTATTCGGCATAAATGCCAAATTTGATTTCTTAATCAAAAAATGGAAAAAAACGTATGGATAGATGCATTTATTTAATTATTAAAATATAGACTGTTTAAGAGAACTGTATCCATAAAAAACATACAATCCAAAATCCTGAATATCCTAAAAATGGCTGATGTATTTGACTTTTATATCAATTTTTCATTAATTTAATATTCCATAATTTGTGCTTATATTCTAACAAGTGAGGTGTTAGTAAACAAATTGCAAGCTATTAACCCATACCTGTTGAATTTGTTTCACGAACCACAAGGGGCCCACGATATCCACCGGTTGGGGACCACTGTTCTAATGTACTGAAATTTTATTCAGATAGTTTGTAAATCGAGGAAGATCAAATGAGAATATGGGCTATATTTAATGACTTTATCTTGTAAAGCATTTGTAAAATATAAGTATAAATAATTATTAAATAAAATGAAAAAAAAAGTAAAAAAAATATTTAAGGTTAATTTTTTCTTGCCTATAATATGAAAGGCACGAGTTCTAAGCCTGGCACTTGCAGTCCAAACAAATTATATACGGATTATAAACTAATTAAATAAAATTCAATTATTTCCTAAGACCACTGATGAAGAGTACTTGGCAATACTCGAAACAGCGTTGTATGGTCAGCCAAATTTCAATAAATTAAAAATAAAAAATTTGTGTCTTTGTCCTTTCTTTGCAATTCGAATCCGTCTAACTTGTAAAAAAAATATGTTATTAAGAAAATAGTTAAATGCCACAATTCAAATTTACTTTGAATGCTGTTTCTACTAAAACACTAATGTTTTTTCTTTTATTCGTAGATCAAATATATTTTTCACTACTACGTAGATGATGCACCATCCAAAGTGCACATCAATCATCGGGAAGAACGTCGCGGTACTCAAGTTACAGGGGAATATGGCTTAGTGGAGCCCGGTGGCTATATACGTAACGTGCACTACGAAGTCGACGGTGATAAAGGCTTCCGAACAGTAGTCAGAACGAGAACAGCAGCAAGTCGCACGCTGCAGATACTACACACAGGCAGTCAGCAGCCACAGAACCCAGTCCAGCATGCCAAACCAGTGGCATTTGTTACTTGAGTGTATATAATAAATAATGAAATTTTTGTACTAATTGCAAAATACAATATATAATTATGATTTATATATGTGAATTATTTTTATTTTTAGAAAACTGATTTATATTGAATAAAAACAACGTTATGTTTTATATTTGTGATTACTTCGTGGAAGACTCGTATATATGCCAATTTGAGTAATTCAGTTCTTAAAAGTAATTCTTTGATAAGTGTGAGAATGTTTTGAAAAATTATTTCCGGTTCCTTAAATAAACCAAATATCGAAAGTATAAGCCAAGTTTAAAAACAAATAAATTAAATATTTATATTTTTAATTGTCTTCATAATGTTGAAGTTTATATTTGGGATCCAGCTAATTGACAAGTGAAGCGCTGTTATTAAGACAAAACCAACAACAACGAAGCTGACAGCGAGTCATTGACCAAAATGTGCTGGCCACGTAATTAACCTAAGCAGAGCAAAACAAATTTAAAAAGCGTTGACAAAAACAAAAACATAAAAGCAGTTAAAGCAATAAAAACAAAAACAAATCAATACGTAAATGCAAACAAAACAAAAAAAAAATTATAAGTGTCAATAAGAGCAGTTCAATGGCATCGTTTTTGCATTTTTGTTATTGGTTTTTCTTTAAATTTTAATTACCGCTTAATTTTACTGCTGGGATTGTTTATTTATTTTTTTACTACTTTTATACCAAAAGTCAGAAAAGAGTATAGTTTATTTACAAGTAATACATCTTAAAATACGAGTAGTATGAATAGTATGAAGTGTGTCTCTGTCGATAATTACAGTATTAAGCAAAAACAAAAATAAATCATAAAAATATGTATATAAAAACAGTTGCTCTTGACTCTGTAAGTCCTGTAAGTTGCATATGTTTTTAATTATAATTATTATTTTATTCCATACTCCATTAGGAGCTTATAGATGTCCCTATATGTTTTACGTGATTTCCTGCCAGGCTGGCTTAACATCACTGTGCTCTTAACACACGCATTAATTTAAGCGTCAATCAACGCCCCATTGGAATATCACTCCTTATTCCGCCGGTACCAAAGAAGAAATTCATGCAAGTCATAACTTCCTCTTTAGTGAGATGCGAGGCCTACCTACTACCTCTGCTACAATTTGGGGTGCAGCACCCGATTTGAAACGCACCCCACGGTGAATGAATGACAAGATCAAATCATTCCTCCCGCGTACATTTGGGTTTTAACCAACAACCACTGCGAGTCCAACACCAATTGGAACTAAAGGATACAACGAATTATTTCCAACTATCTCTAGTTTGCGAAATTTGTTAAAGTTCGTTAAACAATTTGCCAGTATCAGTACTAATTGTTTTTCGCCATGTTGTCGTTGGTCGGCCTCTACGCCGGGTTCACTGGGGATTCCATGTTAGCGCTGCGTGTGGGATGTCATCATAAAGCTTACTCAGGATATGGCCTATTTACCCATATTTTCGCTTTTGAATTTCAACATTGGTTAGTGTCCCTCCAGAATTCCTCATTTGATGTCATCATTAAGTTTCGCAAGCAGCGGTTGATGAAAGTTTGTATTGTCCTTTTAGTCTCCTCCGTTATGAGCCAAGTCTCTAATTGAATTAACTAATTAATAACACATAATGCCTCTGCGAACAGAATAGTATTGAAATTTAACAATTAAAAATAAAAATATAATTAATTAATTAATTCAATTATTCTACAGCTGGTTCTAGTATAAATAAGTAAATTTGTTAATAAAAAACTTTCGAAGCAAAAATAACAAAACTCCAAACTCAAGAAAAATGTACGAAAATTAAAAAAAAAAAAAGAAGCCAAGTACGACTTTGGATCGTTAAGGTGCGCTGATTTTGAGCTTCAAATTTGGCAGGGCCCGAGTTCGATTCCTGGTACTTGCAGTTTCAAAAATAATTATTTACGAATAATTAAATACAAGAATTATTTCCAAGACCACTGATGATGGGTATTTGGCGATACTCAAAACAGCTGTATGGTCAGCCAAGAATTCAATTAATTAAAATAATATAAAAAATAAAATTTTTGTTGTTGTAATTCACTACTGTTCGAAAAAGCCTCTTTATTAATTAATTATATTTTTTATTTTTAATTGTTAAATTTTAATACTATTCTGTTCGTAAAGACATTATTTGTTGCATGATTTGTTCTTTCTTATATATAGAACCTAATCTAGGAACGTAATGCTGAGGAAGTCATGCTAATGTTACTACACTAATCGTAAAATTTTAATATATAATTTATGTATAACAAAGTAAATGTTAAATTATTTCTTAAAATATTTTTTTTGCTATTCCACACATATATGCAATCAAGTAGAGTACATATCACGAATTTTCAATATGCAGAATTCATCAAGTGCAGCAAGTATTAAAAATTAATCACCAAAATTAATAGTCAAAAATTATTTAAGAGTAGTATGAGCCAATGAAACAAACTCCAGAATACAGATAAATATTTAAATCATAAAAAAATTCAAAATACTTTGTCACCAGTTATAACACAAGATCAGTTATATGGAATGCTTGAATAGATTTAGATCCACATTAGCATATAACACCAACTCAGTTATATGTACATATGTGAATACTTATGACTACAATACTAATATTTTCACAATACCCATAAATCCTCAACTTATACGCCGTGATATCTAGTAAATAAGCGCTGGCTACTTTTTCAGAGGCTCCTTAAAATAATTTACAAATTATTATATATTTCTTATTGGATTATATATAAAATGTAATGTTATTAATGTAATGTTATTATTCCTTAAGATTCTAAAACTTATTGTTAGGCTTTAATTTAAAGCGATTCAATAAAGACATATTGTTAAATAAAAAAAACCCATAAATCCACAATTTGTATGTAATACAATTCTCATTAACTATAAATAACAATTATCATATTTGAAAATATTTTTCTATGCTAAGGTGAAGATTTTAATATAGTTGTCTGTTTGCTTAATTGATCGTTTTCTAATGTCCTGGATATATTTGAATGTGTTAAATATGTGTAAATAATTTTAATACTAATAACATTTATTATCCTCTTTTGAAAAATTTTTGACCAAGATCTTTTAAAGAGATTTGTTTTTCAAATAGTTAAACACAATGGCACATTTGTTTGTCAGTTTGTTTTCATATTTACTCATTGATTTTTAAATTTTAGTTGCACATATTTCCAGTAATTCGTTATTTTCGGATGTTCTAAAGTTTTTATTGTTTATTTCTGTAGATTTATTTTGTGTACTGAGTAACAAATATTACCAAAAAAATATAATAACACTCATTTATAGGTTATTTGGCTGTTCGAAATGAGGCTGTCTATTAATAACTTTATCTAGTTTGTTCTAAGTAATAATTGGAGTTCTAAACCATTTAAACATAGCTGTCCGTGTTAATTTATTTGGGCTATATCAACTGTCATAGGTCTACGGAATTCGCATATGACTTTAATCTATGTGATTGAAACCAATCAATTGGAGTAAGTCACAAAAACCTTCTAATATCAAATAAATGTATGAGCAAGTGGATTGAATGAAATGACAACTTCATTTAAAGAAGTAATGTTTCTATAGTAGTATATGGATCGTAAGAGCGAAGACTGAGATACTAATGATAAATGAAAAAATAAAAAGATTAAAAATTTTGTGTATTTATCCCATTATAAAAAAAAAAACAATTTGCTATGTAAAAAACCATCCAACCATATTTTAAGACTCAATTTATCAGTATCCTCCATAATGCGAGGCCTCCCATAATTTACTATTGATTAGTTTGTAAGGAGGATTTCATTACAAAATTTAACACTTAAAAAGTAAAGCACTTTACATAAATAAATTTTAATATTACATCTTCGCCAGTTGTATAAAAGAAGTGTCGTAAGTGAGAACATTTTAATTGATATATATGTTAATTGTACATATATAAAAAGAATGTATATGAAATACTAAAAAACTATTTCTTTTTTAATTGTTTAGTTAAAATATTTTGCAACAGTGATTTTACTACCATGATTAAGACTATTGTATCTATTTTGCATTACTTTGAAACTCAGGTCTATATATCGGTTTCGATGCTTCAAATAGACGGCGTTATCAAAATTACTCTATTTCATTTATTTTGACTAAAAATTTCCACAAAATTCATTACTAATTCAAAGCATTTAGGTTCTGATTGCTTATGTTTAGTTTGCTTTTTTTTTTTTAATTCATTAAATATAATAGGAACGTGAACCCAACCTAATATATGTACTTAAAAGACTCTGACAAATATTTAATTCAAATTTTAGTTCTATATAATTTTTATAATTGCATATATCTTACCATAAAACATTTATTCACATATTTAAATATATATATTAATATATATGGATACGTATTCATATATTGTAGGAGGAATACAATTTCTGACTTCATTCCTTCACGAGATTTAATCATTCACTCAAATGACCATATATGATTCTAGGAATTCACTCAGAATATTTGTTTTTATTAAAAATATATTGATAATTTTACTATGGAATGTTTTAATTAGCTCTAAGGCAAAACTTTTTGATTCATTTTAATTGTAAATATAAGTATAATCACGACTGGTAACCAATAAAGTCACCAATAAATTTTATTCTTTTTTAATATTTGCGCAATTTATCAAGAAGTAATCATTAAAACAACAGTTTTTATTTATATTATACATATTTATTATATAGTTACTTATTTTTTATTATTTGTGTTGTAAGTGCAAGTCAACGCAATGGCTTCTTATGACAAACAAGTAACCGCAAATAATTACAAAAACAATTATATGACATGTTATATAATGTACCGTATGAATTATATGAAATAGACTTAAAGTTTATATTTACTAATTTGATGACAGACTTGGAAAAACTAACCACAGATAAATATTTGTGCAAAAAGTAATAAACTAAAATTTAATTTTAAGGATATGACTTATAACATAACTTATTATTATTACAATAAAATATTTTTTTTGTAAAAGAAATATCAACTAAACTAGTGGTGAACTCTTGACGTGTCAGGAATCTCAAACATACTTACCTAATAAAGTCTTCCTTATCAGCTAAATGCAGTAAAGAATCAATTTTCAACTTTTTTAATAGACAAACAAAATTCAGCCACGTCTTACCATTACAGACTCAAATATAAAATCAGTCGTTAATTACCGAAAATTCCTTAATGAAATGACGCAGCAATTCGATGTTTATACTAACTGCTTGTTTAAGCACAGAGGTATTAAGGATAACTATATGCTAAGCTTGCTAAGATAAGATTACCAAGAAAAGAGTGTTCACTGCATTTCTTTCAGAAAAAAAAACAGATTGTTGCTTCCTTGGCGACTTGTAAATTTAAAATCAAAAGAATTATTTCTAAACAAAATAAGTCAACAAAAGAAAAGTAAAATTGAGAAACTGGACCAATCTGTTCAAACAAAAGGCGAAATTAAGAAATTAAAAACCAGAAAGACTTTTCTCAATTCCATAAAATTATATCTCAATACTTATAGTTGTCATCACTAGACAATATTTAATAAGTTAATATACTTCCAAAAATGCTATTACATCCACTGCAGAAGCTGTGGTAGTGAGAAATTCGAGGAGACCATAAAACATATTATCTATTCCATCGCATAAAAAGAAAGGAAAACAATAGATTGTTTGATTCTTTGTTAGATTGTTTGATTGTTTGTTAGATTGATTGTCGACGAAAATGTTCATTCACCTATCTACCTACCATCGCAAAATAGTCTAGTAAACTGATCATTGTACTTGCAGACCATTATTTCAGACTACAAGATGCAGAAAAGAATTTGATAAAATAATATCACACATCTTGACTTGACCTATTCGTTATTCACAGTAGTGAGTTACGTAGAATTAAAAAGTTATTAAATAAATGGAGACTGAATTATCGATTTCTGAACTTGACCTATTCTTTCTTTACAATCGTGAAATATATGGAATTAAAAAGATTTAAATAAATTAAGAAAGAATTATTGCCTTAAGCTTCTTACACTAATAGAGTAGAAAAATAAGTGAAGTAGAATACTTCCTAAAACGAACAAGTTTAAATATTAATCAGTATTAAATATTAATCTGTAACAAGTTAAAATATTCCTATCTGTATTCATCTATATATTATCTATATCTAATTTTAAATGATATTTTTTAAGATATTTCTTAAAAAATAAATTTTGTGACAGAATTTATATTTATTGATACATATATCTCAGTGGAGTTCTTCATAAGAAATACTTTTCTATAATAATCCCATAATCCCATATCATCCGAATCTAAATTTTGTCTTTGGTTGATCTGGCACTTCTCATGATAATAAACTATTTCTATTTCTTTATATATATTATCTCAATCCACCTACCGAAACTAGGTAATTTGCATATATTTTTATATAAATCACTATTTAATACTACGGATGGTATCCATAATCTATTAATCCGTTCTAAAGGAATAAATGATTTTAAAGATTTGAGTGTAAAATAGTCTATTTCAGATATGAATGCGATGCAAAATTAAATTAAGTCGAATAAATCTCATATTCATCACTAAATAGCCCAATCACTACCTCATAGTGGTATTCTGGGAAGAAAACTATGACTTTCAAATATTTACTTGTAACCTCATATTTACCTGTATATTAAAAACATGCTATCGTTTATTCTCTTACATACGAGTATATACTATTCTGATAGAAATATTTCTCTTTACGATGTGAAGACCTCGTCAAACAATTTTTTATTATACGGAACTGAATTTTTTAAACTTTACCCTAGAGTTTTGAAACTAAGTACAGTTACATATAGTAAGAACGTGACTAAGAATATGCTTTTTTATCTATTTATAAAATATCTCTCTATACTCTAAACACAGTTATATATCTTCTGGTATTATTTCTTATGTCCTTTGACATGTGAATATAATTGATTAGACCTTAATAAGAAAATAAAAAACAACGTAAATATATTATTATTTTATATCTATTTTTTATTTTATGTATTAACTATATTTACAAATATTATATTTATTTCTTTCTGAGGATTTAAAATATATAATTTGTTTACTTGTTTTATAGTTTATGTACAGGTTTACAGAAGATAATATATTTTATATATACATCGTATATCAAAATATGTGAACATTTTAAATAAATTTTTTCTCTTTGATTTGCTGACAAAATTATATGGCCCCTGAACTGAAGAAGAATTGTAGTAAGAAATTGAAATAGATTAATTATTTTAGTATCCGAAAACATATGTGGGCCCAGGAAATTTGTGAATAAGTCAAAACACGTACGTTTACTCTCTCTTTCTCTTTCATTCTCTCTCTCTCTCTCGCTCTCTCTCTTTTTCTTGAACATATCTAAATTCACTGTCTCCAGAGTGGTTCAAAAGGTTGAAGTAAAGTATTTCTAATTTTTGAGGTACGGCAAGTAAAACTTTATAAGAAATTTCAGTTAGAAATTTAACTGCTTTTTGATGTTCCCACAGCGTTTAGATTGGAGTTTTTCGTTTTGTCTGCTGCGGGTTTCTTCTGCGACTTTTCGGGTGTCGTCGTTTTATCTAAAACTTTGGATGCTACAAAGGGTTTCCTTGTTTCCGCAGTTTGCTGCGTTACCGTTTCCACAGGTGCTCTAAACGGCTGCGGTGCTGTCTCGAACGGCAATTGCTGTGTCTGTATCAAATATTGCTGATCAAAGACAGGATCGTATTTCTGTGTGTTGGGTAGTACGAATTCGAGTAGTGGATTCTGTAATGAAATTATTTGGAAAAATAATGTTTGTATGAAATAATGGAATGTTTTGAAATGATGATGCAAATAAACACTAAAAATATTTACTTTTTAAATTAAGATAATAAAGCTTTTAATAGTCACCACAATAGCCTAAATATTGGAAAAAACACAGGAAGTGCGCTAATGGGTCATTGTTTATAGGTGTATGTACAAAATGTGTGGGAAATACTTTACCGGAACATACCAGGGTAGGCAGTTTGGAAGATAAAAAAGTGTTTAAGCTTGTGTAAGCGGCACATTTAAATTTTATAATAAAATTAAAATAAAATAAGCCATAACATTTTTATATTTATTTTATGTAAATATTTACAATAGTTTTTTTCTTTTTTTTTTTTTTGTTTTTGTTGATTTATACAATATAGAAAAACTGTACAACTAATCACAAACTATAAAACTATAAAAAATAATAATTACTTAAGCGTATTTTCAAAGCGAAAGTTTCAAAGGTAAGCTTCAATTTAATTTTAGCAAAATCATAAATAAAGTTAAGAGTTCAGGTAGGAAAAAATTTAAGAAAAAATATTTGAAAAATTGTATTATGAAATCCCTTAAAAATAACGATAATTATATACTCTTACGTAGTTGAGTGGCACGTATTTGACCTTTTCGTATGCCTTGTATTTTTTCGTTTTGGGATTGTATTTGCCTTGCACTTTGTCGCCGAAGTAACCACTTGAGAGACCATTTGCAGATACACTGGATGCGTATTTTGTGGCCTTTGAGCCATTGATTTTGTTGTTGTTGTTGTTATTGTTGCTGCTGGCGTTTGGTACAACCGCAAAGTATTTGAGGCCGACATTTGGTACGTACTGTGGTGCTAGCCCGGAGACCTGGTTTGTTTGGCTAGTCTGTTGATACGAATTTGCATTGCTTGGTGCAACAATGTTACCATACGTATTACTATTGAAGTAGTAATTATTATTGTTGGGGCGTGGACGTGAGGGCGGTGGTAAAACATAACTATATAATTGTTTTGCAGAAATAAAAAAAAATGAAAAATTTTAATAAGAACTTTATTAAGATTTTCGATTATAATGTATTCAAAAAGTATATGCCTTGGTAAATAAAAAGACATAGAATTTTTTTTAATATTACAACAAGTAGAAAACTTATCAATTATAATTTTTTTAATTTATAATAGAATTTTTTCTAAAGCAGTTCGCACCTCTTACACCTACAACGAGTCATAATCAATTATATAAATAATTAATTGCGAAAATTTCTTTTATGAAATACAGTCAAACTTCCATAACTCCAAGAACCATTTTGCACAGAAAAGGTTCGACTTATGGAGACTTCGCATTAAAGAATAATTTTTTTGTAATGTAATTTGCTCTCTAAACCCTGTTGCACTCTATTTAGTTCGAGTTATAGAAAATTCGATTTATGGCAGTTTGACTGTATATTCAAATAATTTCAGCTAACTTACAAAAATATAATGCACCTTCGATATACCATATAAGAATGTACAGTGAAATTTGACTTAAATGATATATGATCATTTCATATCAATTATATATCAAATAGAAATTTTTTATATCGAAAAGGAAAATAATAGTAAAAAAAATTTTAAAGTCAAATTAATTTTTATTATAATTAAATGAAAATTTCATATTCAAAAATATTCAAATTCAAATATTCAAATTTGGTGTATGTTGGTTTTATGTGTCTTATACTGGATTAATTATAATTTTATCAGTCAAATATATTTAATTTGCTTTGAAATCAACAATAATTGACAGCTAAAATTACAAAAAAAACTGTCATGTGAATCCAGTATTACACAAGAATCCACGGTTCAAATGACAGGGTTCAATTTTTGACGTTTCCAGACTAAAAATAATATAGGGACAATTAAACCAATAAATATAATTAATTTCAATTTAATTTCCAATAAATTAAAAATTTGGTCTTCCAAAAGATCACTAATAATAGATATTTGACGTTATAAGAAACAACTAAATTAAAAATTACAACGTAATTCGCTTTGGGTCAATTAACTAATGTTCAGAGCTTCAAATTTGGCAGAGTACGAGTTCAAACCTTGATACTTACAGTCTCAAAAAATTATATACGATTAGTTACATATAAGAAATTAGTCTCAAAGACCATTTGATATTATAAATTTGGCAATACTAGAAACAGCTGTACCAACAATTTGATCCATGAAAACATTAAAAAAAATTTTGTTGTTGTGATTCACTCCTATTCGAAACCTTTATTATGCGCAGTGCAGACTATCATTCTTAGATTTTCTCTCTTGAATGACACGCAACCAACATGTTCGCGTGTTCACCAAAATTTTGGTGACCACATCATTTAGTTTCTCGCCAACATCTTGTGAATGATAGTCTGTCACCCAAAAACTTGTATTCGTCATTCAAGATCATATTTTTGCATGGTTGCACTAACACACTTACAGCTTGCGAAACACACTTACAGCGTGCGCAAACACACTTATTCTTCAAAAATTTTGCTTGAATGACAACTCTTGAATGTGAGCATGTTCAAGTTCGGTTGCTAGAATAAGCAAGAGCAAGAGAGATCGCAACTTGAATGACATTCAAAAATGATAGTCAGCAACGCGCTTTAAATATAACAAACGTTAAATACAATTCAAAATTATTTACTATACTTAAATTTTTCATTTTCATAATTAAATTTATAATCAAACAATTTAAATTGAATTTTTCCTTATAAGATATATAAGAATATAAAATCTTTTAGAAATACATGCTTTAACACTTACACATAAGGATTTGGATTGGGTATATCACCACTTTGATCTTCCCACACAGGCGCTGGTTCACGGTAGGGCGGTTGTGGTTGCACTGTTGGTTTTACCGTGGGCGGTATTATAGGACCTTTGTTTGTGTTCCAATCAACCCGTATCGCTGTACTGATTGTGATGAGACAGCTGACTAGCAAGTAAATTTCGTGTGAAAGCTGCAAATATATATGTATATAAATTTTATTTAAAATGAACAAATAAAATCTTAAAAGAAATTTAAATAAAAAATAGAATTTAATTTGATTAAGAAATTCAGATACATAAAAAGCAAAAATATTTTGAAAACAAGTTAACACTTATGTCTTTTAATTGCCGTTGACTGCGACCGCAATGTTTATAAAAAAATTTTAATTATACATTTTGGCTCATGAGTGACTCGTGATTAATTGCACTCATTTTTCCTTTTTGTCAATTCATTTATTTTGTTAATTAATATTTTTATAAATTTTCAAGTATTTATATCTTAATTCACGTTTTTTCATAGACTTCAGCAATTCCTTAAGTGCTCATTGTGTTTAATTATCATTTCACACCTTTTTAGAAGTCAAATTTATTATGACAAATACTTTAAGCACACAACTCAATTTATGCTAATTTTATATTATTACACTGCAAAAAATAATAATTTAAGCTGACATGCAATTATTAATACTAAATCAACAGTTTTTTAAGTGGCATTTGGTTGCCTATAAAAAATAACTGGGCGTTTTCTTGTACAGCGTATATGTCTGCTCAAGAAAAAACGCTGCAGTGGAAAAATATTTGATTGCTGTGGGCTTATCAAATATTTCTGTCGAAGTATTTCAATATAAATATTTTAAGGAGTTTATTTATAATAATAATTATTACTATAATTTGAAAGTAAAAAGTTAACTTGAATAAAACTCAAAAATTGTGGTACTGCAGGACTACTAAGTTTTGCTACCTTAATTTAGTGGTGGATTGTTTTTTTATAGTTAAAAACTTTCAATATATTAAATATATTAATTTATTTTTTTAAAAAGAGGTTATTCGACAATAGTGAACTACAACAACAAAAATTAATTATTATTTAATTTTTAATCCAATTTTTGGCTGACCATACAGCTGTTTCGAGTATTGCCAAATACCCATCATCAATGGTCTTCGAAATAATTTTTGTATTTAATTATTCGTAAATAATTGTTTTTGAAACTGCAAGTACCAGGAATTGAACTCGTGCCTTGCCAAATTCGAAGCTCAGAGTCAGCGCACCTTAACCAACTGACGTACTTGATTTTCATGTTCGCACATTTTTCTGAAGTTTTGTTACTCTGCTGTCAAAATTATATTAACAAATTTACTTACTGTGTTTATTTAGAACGAAATCATATTTTTTCAAGTTAAAAATGATTTAAGTATTTGTTACAGATATTACTATAACCATACAACAACAACAAAATAGGTAAAATTCTGCTTATCCCGTTACCAACACTGGAATGTAAAATTTCTAAAATAGCAACGACTTCATCAAAGATATACAAAAATCAACTTAAAACTAGAAGTATTGGTTATATTGAGAATAACCAATGGCCTTAAGTCGCGTCAATTTATTCAATGATCTCTTCAACTCTCTTTTTAATCAAAGTTACCAGTCGAATCCATTCAGAGTGGACTAATTTTCAGTCCAGTCGAACAATTATCCTGTAATCAAGAAGTAGGCCTTGTAGTAATTATAACGAATATTCTCTTCCTTGAATTTTCAAATGTGTTTTTTTTTCCTAAACATCTGAGTCTCTGCCAATATCGAGTTAATGCTCAAAAATTGAGGTTAAAATTGAGGGAATAAGAATTCCACATCTACAGTTAACTTGCTTTAAATAAATAAATAAACATTTCAGAGTTAGATAACTCCTACCAAATATAAATAGAGGGATTCATTCAAAATTTTTTTGAATGAGTTTTTTTCTTAATGTTGATTTGAAGAAAAATCTGTGTTTGAGATAGAAGAAAAAGATTTTCTATAAGGATGTGTAAGGCCAAAATGTTAAATATTAATTCATTCAAGTTTAATAATGCACAATTTGTATTTTTAAAAATCAAGATTTTTTAAACTCTTTTAAATCTCAATTTTTGAACTTTAAGTCGTTATTGTTAAAAACACAGATTTGTAGAATAAAACGGGTTGAAAATAACGACCTAAATTATAAGTTGTAACGAATCTTTTTCGTCAATGTTTCACTCGCCGGATTACAGATTCAGTCCTACAATAAAATTTATTTGTTAGGAACAGTGAAAAGTTTGCGATGATATCTGGAAGAGCTAGCGTACGAAGCGGTCGGAGGCTTTGCCACAGAAATGTAGATTTCTTTGCTGTGGAATCATTGGATTCGTGGTAAAAATGTAAATTCCTGTCACGCCTCATACGATTACTAACGAAATGTGTATTTCGTTTTATGTTACAAAGTTAGGTCATTAACCTAACCTAACTTTATGAGAAAGTTATAAATTTCATTATTGTATTAAAGTTCATTGAAAATCTATCAAGAATATATATCATTAGTAAATAATAATAACAACTCATAAAACTTTCAAAATCAAATGACTACATTAAAGATAACAACAGTAACCCCATTAAAAACATTTAATATTTTACACGATATTAAAATTTATGTTTACGAATTCATAGCCTCTTTATACCAAGGACTTTGTTAAACCATGTTTTTTCAACTTTAAGTAATTTTTAATTAGTTCACATTGCAAATAACAGTTCATCGATATAATGTAATTAATTTCATTAATGATGTTGTCCTCAATACTATTTTAACGAGATAATTATGTACTAAATTTTAACGATAACAATGCCCAAATGTTTTTCATACATAAAACTTAATATTAATTAATAGTCTTTATTGTAACGTACAAAACAGTTAATTAAAATTAATTTATTGAATTCATGTTTTGTAAGATATTTTCATACCAAAACCAAGTTTTTATAGAGATTTTTGTGCATAACTTGAACTTGACATATAAATTCCATGAACATTTGAAATATCAAATCGAGCGCACTCACATGCATTAACATTCATTAACAAATTATATTGAAAATAATCAATAAAAATTATTTCTTAAATAATTTATAAATGCAATAAATTTTTAATTTTTTTCATGAAATTAAAACCACGTATGTCAATTAGTTGTTTACACTGTGGTCTACGCTGTCATCTTTATAGCATAGCTGTTAAGTTGTAATCACTATAACTTTTTAGGGTCCATCAGAAAAAAAGAACCCCTAGAACTTTAATATAAAATGTTTTGATTCTAAATGTTTCAAAAATCGATTATATTTTCTTTTTTTATTGATGAAGTCAAATACAACTTGATTAAAAAGTTAAACATTACATATCGTTGAGAAAATTTTGACAATATGTTATGTTCTGTTGGTGGATAGTTCATGACCCTGTGTACATGACATAAAAATATACCTCTAAATCTTCCATTGTCCACTCGTTTTTCTTTCACTAATTTACAGTACTACAGATTTTAATATGAGTTTGCATATGGAGTTCTGATTTTCTATGGTTCTAATAAGGTCATATATCCGTAGCTAAATCTGTAGCAGATATTTTGATTGGTACTATAGAGCTAATTAAGCATTTGCTACAGAGCTTTCTAAATATAGCACATGCAGGAAGTACTGCTTTTAGCATTAAATATTACTATATCACCATGAGTGCTATACTTTTATCTAATTCGTTATCAGGGCCTTATACATTAATTTAGTTGTCTTTGTATTATTGTTTCAATATTGAATTTACTTCCTCGTTAAGTGTGCCTTAAATCTTATCTGTAAAGAGTGTATTTGATATATTCGGCTGAATATGTGATCTAAACATTTTAAATAAGCGTTACTGTCATATAAAAACTTTATATTGCATTCTTAACAACATCAAAAACTATAATATCCAATTTACTAGCAGATGTAACTAGATTTATGATACTCTATTTTCAAGTACTTCTGGTTTATATCGTAATATACTTTATGATTTAGCCAATCTTTGGGTATATTACTTTAAAAACGTTATTATATTGGAAGGAGTCTCCGCTTCCAATGAAGTAGTTATATATATATATTGTCTCGCCTTGTATGCAGTTACCCGTCAGCATCAGTAAAGTACTGCTGAGCAGGTAACGCCCGCACTAGTGGAAACAGCTGACTGGTATATTTGAACCTGATCAGTCTTGAGATCTGACAGGAGCTTTCATCTGCTCACGTTTGCTTCGACGTGCACAGGTATTTTTGTTTACTTATTACCTTATTCTTTGTATGTGAGGTACTAATATTCAAGAAATGAATGTCAAAGAGCAGAGTACCTGCTTGAGAAAGTTTGTCTGCCTTTCATTTGCCTCATATGACACTGATAAGGCACCCATGTGAGTTGGACACTAACACTTTTGGCTACCTCACTAAGAGAAGTTAAGCGGTCTCGGTTTGGTAATGCTTACTAGAGATTTGGTAGTAGCTTGACCGCTAGTGGTCATTACACTATTTATATTAGCAATGGGTTATTAGTCGAAGCGAGATTAAATTAATACCAACAACAAACTTTGGTAAACTTATTGACGACGAAGATATGAAAGATAGTATATCTCTTGGCAATGTGGAGTCCGAGAGAAAAAACTGACATATAATATATGCGAGTGTAACTACTTAGCTGCTGTCTTATGCTTTTCTAACCTAACCTCGCCCTCCCATCTAACCTAACCTAACCTAACTATATTTTCACCTTACTTTACATTAAGTGATTCTTTTGTTATAATTATAATTAAATAATATTTACCCATATTAACCCCAAGAAAAGACTCAGACACGCTCTGCAAATTATGTCATAAATATCAATAAAAAAATTTATAAATGTTACCATTAAGCACTATGTTATGTTTAAACTAAAAAATGTACCCATTAAGTAGCCCACCACTGACTGGTTTTTTTTGTTTTCATTTTCTAAATATTTTAGCAAAAAATCATTTTTTGTTGACTTAAGCAAAGTTGCCGCATCTTTTATGCAACATTATGATTAGCCCCCACTCCGTTGATTGCCTATTCGAGTAATCAACGTCGTCTTCGAAGTCGAAACCCCGGCTGGCATGTGTTTAATAATGAATTACTCATTCGGATGGTTTTATATTCGTAGTTGCTGCAGCTGTTACTAGTTGTTGCCGATAATGCTGAAGTTGTTGCTGATGTTGTTTCAATTTTCATGCATGTTGTTAACAAATTTTCATTAAATTGATTAATTAAAAACCGAGATTGTATTTTGTTGAATCGCGACTCATAGTTGCTAAAAAAAATTAGCAACAAATGTTGTATGGAATTGGTTTTTAATAGCTAAAATGATTTAATTTATTATTAATCAATGATATTTTAATTTAGTAATTACTTCGTTCACATAATGAATTAATTAAAAAAATTGTGAGTTGTTTTGAATTTTAGAAATTAAAAATTTATGGAAAATATGTTTTAAACAGCATCAGATGACGACTGACATTCATTAAACAATTTTTTCAATCTACTTATTTGTATAGCGTGCTCTTATTATACGATAAAAACAATATTTAAATAAGTAATTATTGTAATGCATGTTTTGATAAAACATTCAAAACATTTTAATTAAGCATGCAAACAGATACAAGCTTAATTATCATAAAACGGAAATCATGAAAATACATATCACAACATCAGGAAAATTTAATAATTTACAGGAAATACTGTTGTATATACATATGTATCACTTGTTGCTCATCACAATACAAAAGAATTTTACTCTATACATTCTATGCATTATGCATTTAATATATAATACAGTAAACGCTTCAAAATTAGAACGACATGATTTTACGGAGTTCAAATATCAAAAATGTTCCAATTTCTGGAGTTTTTGTTTTGGAATATAGAAAAAATACAGTTTTTTTTATTTAATCAAAAATTTTGACTTTTTTGTGGAAGAGTAAAGCTAAATCTATACCGCCGAATTTATATAACTTAATAGGTCTTTCGTCGTCACCGATAAACAATCTAATAAACTATTAAAAAAGCATCTTCCTAAGAACCTATATCTTCTGGACGCCAAAGCCGAGCATTCACAAACAAAATGTATTATTGTTTATTTTTCTGCGAGTTTCCACAACTTCTGCAGTTTTTCTGCTTGGATTCCTATACACCAATGACCATCGTTTTTCATTATTATACTAGATTTTTGTATATTAAAAAATGGCAAATATAGTGATTTATGGTTTTGGGTCTACTTTTGTTG